AAATCAATCCATGATATCTCAACATTTTGAGTACTAGGGACTACACTGAACAACAATTTAAAATCAGTTTTTCTAAGTTGAAAATTGAATTAAGACTTTGACTTTGACTAAAGCTTTCTGAATTCAAAATATGTAAACTGCTGAGCCTTTAGTGGTTTCCTGAAGGTGGTTTTAATTTTTCACATTGTCCACATTTCCCAGAAAATCTTAAACTACCTTAAGCTTTAATGGTTTATTTCCTCACATTGAGAAGTTGCTCAAGTGGGGCTAGCAGGTGACATGGTGGCTAAGGCACTGGATTCCCACATGGCCCACCCGGTTGGAATTGAGGACCTGAAGCCTTGAAAATCACACTGGGCATGTGTGGGTGCATGCCCCAAATTTCAAGAGGAAGAGAATGGAGGAGAAAGGGTTATAGCATGGTATCCTCCCTGAGGGGTGATTTCTTACATTCCTTCTCTGACATGTGCCCTATGGCAAACCTTTAAAAAAAGTTGCTTGGGACCAGGAGTTAGCGTAGTGGCTATGTTGCTGGACTCCCATGTAGTCAACTGCGGTTCGTGTCTAGGACCCAGTGGCTTGAAACTCACGCCGGGCGCATGTGTGTGCGTGCCCAAGATCCCAAGAGGAGAATGGAGGAGAAGGGATTGTGGTATGGGCATTCTCCCCCGGAGGTGATTTTTCGCTTTCTATCTCTCTGTCTCTCTCTGTCTGTCTGGCAAGCACACGCGCCCTATGGCAAAAACCTCTCCAAAATAAAAAAAGTTGCTCAAGATTCACTGGTGGACTGAGTTGGAATTTATGCTCCTTAACATTTTCATTTTCCATTCTTCAAGTGGCAGAAACCATTTAAAGTATTTTCTTTTTTTTTTTTAAAGAAGTACCCATACATTATGTTGCGATGAAGTGCAAAAAACCAAACTCCCTTACATACTTCAGTGACAAAATCCACTCTGGTTATACTTATTGATAAACAGGATCATTTGTATAGATAATGACATCTAACAATGTGGAAACAGCATGCTTTCTTAGGAAGTGGAGAAGAACCATAGTCATTACTATTGAGTAAATGTCTTAAAAAGTTTCAGGAAGGTCTCTAACAGAATGACACAGTGCTTATCAAGAATCATTGAATCAAAAAGACCCAGTCTCATGGGGCCAGCAGGCGACCTGGTGGTTGGGGCACTGGACTTCCATATGGCTAACTGTGGTTTGAGTCCTGGACCTGGTGGCTTACTTTCTCACTTTCCCTTACTCTCTTTCTGTCCCACTCTGGTCAAATTAAATATCTATATCTATATCTATATATATACACACACACACACATACATATACATATATACATGTGTATATATATACATATGTACACACACATATATACGCATGTGTATATATATATACATATATATATACATATATATATATGTATATATATATATATATATATAAAACAAGTGAATAATTAATAAAAAAAAAAAAAGACCCAGTCTCTGGCTTCAAGAATTTCAGACAAAGTACAAAGTTAAAGGTATGCGTCATACATAAATATGACCATAACAGAAAACAAAATATTATGAGAGGTGCAAGAAACGTAAACCATAAGTTGCTGAAATTGAAAGGGAATCTCTGCCTGTTTTCCTCGGTGAATGAGCTCTTTAAAAGTTACTGTTTTTAGTGCTTCAAAAATGGGAACATTTGTCCTGGGAGCCTATTGAAATGAATAGGTGGTGGGATAGAATAACTCTTGCAAATGAGTACACAGAAAATCCCAAATGTACCTAGCTACTTTGGGCAAAGCATAGAGTCCTCATAGGCAGAGATTATGAAGTAATGCAACAAAAATAATATGAGAAAACTCTTTTGGTTAACTTTGAGTATTAAACGGAAATTTTGACTCTCCTCGAAGTCATTAGAAAGCTATCAGAAAGTGTGAAGCAATAGGAATTAAACATATTTCAGGAAGATGACTGTAAGATTATGGGAAGGATGGCAGTCAGGACAAGGTAACTCAAGAAGTTCTTGCAATAGTTAAGGAGAGCAGCAACTATAAAACCTCATATTGGTAGGTACCAGACTTGGAAAGTGCTAGAATATACGTGTAATTATTTTACTTGCAGTTGAGAACACTGGAGCAAAACAGTCATGAAGAAGGAAAGAAAGAAAGAATGGAAGAAGGAAAGAAAGAAATAATGAAAGAAAGAAAGAAAGAAAGAAAGAAAGAAAGAAAGAAAGAAAGAAAGAAAGAAAGAGGGAGGGAGGAAAGAAAAAAGAAAGAAAGGAAGAAAAAAAGAAAATAAGAAAGTATTTGAGGAACCAGCAGATGGCATAATGGTCCCTCAGATGACACAATGGTCCCTCCCACTACATGGGAGTTGCTCGACTCCCATGCAGTCGACTGAGGTTCGAGTCCTGGACCCAGTGGCTTAAAACTCATGCCAGGCCTGTGTGCATGTGTGCTCAAGATCTCAAGAGGTGACTGGAGGAGGAGGGATTGTGGTATGGCCATCCTACCTGAGGGGTGGTTTCTTGCTTTCTCTCTCTGGTGAGCACATGCACCCTATAGCAAAAATCTATTTTTTAAAAAAGCACTTGAATCGTTGCTTATATTCTATCCTCCTTTAAAAAGAAATAAACAAGGCTGCCCATAGTTTAGTAGTTAAGGGAAGCCGGATCCCACATGGTCAACCTGGGTTGGAGACTGAGCCCAGCAGCTTAAAAAACATACTGAGCATGTGTGTGTGTACCAAATCCCAACAGGGTGGAGAAATGGAGAAGAAATTGTGGCATGACCTTGCCCCATTGACCCTTGCCCCTTCTTTTTCCTCTCTCCCTCTTCTCTGTCTCTCTCTCTCTCTCATAAGCTCAAACTCCCTCTGGCTATTAAAAATAAATAAATAAATAAATGAAAAGACTTTTCTAGTTTATCTTCCATTTGAAGTTTTTAAAAAAAAATAATTATTTTACTTAACTTTATTTACTCACTTTAATTTGACCAGAGAGGAACACACACACACACACACACACACACGCACACACACACACAGAGTCATCAGGTTCGGTACTTTAACTGTGGTCGGCCATGTGGGAGTCCAGCACCCTTAACCACCAAACCACCTGCTGGCCCCCCCTTTGAAGATTCTTAAATTCCCAGGTTCCTAGAGTCTTGGAGTTTTCTTAACATGGAATATGAAATTTAAGAATATAGAGTTTCCTGAACTCTAGAAAAGGGATTTAAATTTAAGGTTCTTTAAATGATTTATTGTCACTGAGGCTTCTGTCTTTATTTAAAAACTGAGTGGAATAAGTCTTTATAAGGTATGAGGAAGCCACAATTATGGTCACATTAAATAGCCAAAGCCTTTAATCATCTAAAAGTGCTTCTAAGAAACAAGAAATGTTGTACGCTTTACACCACTGAAGAAAGAATTTAGAGGTGGAAAGAAAACATTTCATTTTGGTAACATGAAGTCTGTAATTCGTACTTACTCTTTGAGCCACATGATGTCGCTCTTTACCACGGATTCTCTCATTTTCAACAAAATAAATCCATTCCTCTTCCCGTTGGAAAGAAGCTACCCTCTCCTTCATTCTCCGAACGCTCAAAAATGGCCACCACAACAGAATTGATATGACAGAATAAGAAGATTCTTCTAAAATTCGAGGCAAGTTTCGTTGATAAAAATAAAGCGCTAATAATATGAAATGGTGTACCCAAGTGTGCCCAACCCAGGAGCCAGGAATCTGCTGTTTATTTTAATTCTAGCAGCCTGGGAATCGGGGAGCAGCCAGCTCCATTACTCGGTCCCGGAGGAAGCCAAACACGGCACCTTCGTGGGACGTATCGCGCGGGACCTGGGACTGGAGCTGGAGGACCTGGTGCCCCGCCTGTTCCGGGTGGCGTCCAAAGGTCGTGGGAATCTTCTGGAGGTAAATCTGCAGAATGGCATTTTGTTTGTGAATTCCCGGATCGACCGGGAACAGCTGTGTGAGCAGAGCGCGGAGTGTAGCATCCACCTGGAGGTGATCGTGGACCGGCCGCTGCAGGTTTTCCACGTGGACGTGGAGGTGAAGGACATTAACGACAACCCGCCTGTGTTTCCAGCGACACAAAAGAATCTGCTCATCGCGGAATCCAGGCCGCTTGACTCTCGGTTTCCACTAGAGGGCGCATGGGACGCAGACATCGGCGAGAACGCTCTGCTGACCTACAGCCTGAACCCCAATGAGTATTTCTCGCTGGACGTACCAACCAACCACCAGCAGGTGAAGCCTCTTGGACTTGTGTTACGGAAGCCTCTGGACAGGGAAGAAACTCCGGAGCTCCTGTTATTGCTCACGGCCACCGATGCGGGCAAACCCGAGCTGACCGGGACCGTCGAGTTACTCATCACGGTACTGGACGCCAATGACAACGCCCCAGTGTTCGACAGGACACTCTATACGGTGCAATTACCAGAGAATGTTTCTGTCGGAACGGTGGTGATTGACCTCAACGCCACGGATTTGGACGAAGGCTTGAATGGGGATATTACTTACTCGTTCTCCAGTGATGCTTCTCCGGATATCAACTCCAAGTTCCACATAGACGCCACGAGTGGGGAAATTACAGTGATGGGACTTATTGATTTTGAAGAAAGTAAGGTCCACAAGATTCGTGTAGAGGCTATCGATAAAGGCTTCCCACCTCTGGCTGGTCACTGTACAGTTCTTGTCAAAGTTGTGGACACCAATGACAATGCTCCACAGTTGACCGTCACTTCCCTGTCTCTCCCTATCTCGGAGAACGCCCAGCCAGGCACAGTAATCACCTTGATTAGTGTGTTTGACCGCGATTCTGGAGCTAATGGGCAAGTGACCTGCTCAGTGACGCCCAAGATCCCCTTCAAGCTGGTGTCCACCTACAAGAATTACTACTCGCTGGTGCTGGACAGCGCCCTGGACAGAGAGAGCATTTCTGACTACACCGTGGTGGTGACAGCGCGGGACGGGGGCTCACCTTCGCTCTGGGCCACCGCCAGCGTGTCGGTGGAGGTGGCCGACGTGAACGACAACGCGCCGCTGTTCGCGCAGCCCGAGTACACGGTGTTCGTGAAGGAGAACAAACCGCCGGGAT